TTTTGAATTTTTAATGTGGCAATTACATTAATTGAATCCTTCCAGCTGTTTTCAGAACAAACAAAGGGTAAATTAATGAAATTGACTTTCCGCGCATCAACAAATGTCCAGCAATATTAAAGATTACTTCGGAAAGCATATATGTATAAGATATTTGAACCTATTACTCAAAGCAACAACGGGGCATGACCGCTTCAACTCACATACAAATAAAAAAATTCATTAAACTAATTAAATATGAGTCATGAGCGCTGGCTCATCAGAAACGAATTTGCGGCAGGGATCATATCGATTGTGGGTTTCCTCCGCCTTCTTTCTAACTTTGGTGCAGATGAATAATTTCACGGCAATGATGTACTCAAAGTCAATATGAATGATAAACAGGAACCTGTGAACAGTGCGGCAAAATTAGTCTGGTGTAACTTGCATGAAATTATGCAAATTATTATTACATGTTTTATGAAGTGTAGCCCACTCGACCTCGAAATTACCCCCAGGAAAAATAAAAATTGGAGTAGCTCTTGTTTTTTAGTAATTGAGAATACATTTCACTTAAAAATCAAATTGTATTTGTTCAAATTTATCACGGCACTAACATTCGCAAAATGTGAAAGCATATCAAGGAGGGGGGTGTCTTTCTACTGTGTTTTTAGGGGAGATAATACATGGCTAGCGCACCGACACCACCGATAATTTCGATTTTCTACCTGCAATGATAAACACCACAATACAGCGGTTTCTCAATATTCTTGTTCACGACGAGATATCCCTGGTCTATTCACTGGTTAACTGCGATAAAGCCCCTCGCAGCAAGACGATGACCTGGCGGTCCGAACGATCACATACGGGCTCATATCGCGCATATTTACCCAAGGGCCCCCAACGGAAGCCGGGTCGCCAACGACCCGCCCCGCCGGCAACCGCCGCACGGCGCGCGAGCACCGTCTCCGATCCGCGATGTAAAGCGAGTGGTATCCGGTGTCTGTGCGGAGAGCGCCGCTTTGTCAGCGCGTCCGCATGCAAACGCCTCCGACGACAGTTTCGGCGGCGGCGGCGGCAGCGGCAGCGCGACTGTCACGTTGGTCCCGGTTGCGGAACACGTGGTCAAAAGTAAACGTAAGATTCCATTTCTTCCTCGTAGCCAACGATGAGGCTTCACCCGGTTGTAATATTTCGAACGGTCACTTCATGCTGGTTTTTTGAGTCAGCTGATTTAGAATTTGATATTCTTTAAAACGAAAGTGGATTCCTAAAAAGCAGAAATTAGAAAACATAAAGTTATAGTAGAATGCCGTAATAAATAATGCATTACACAATGTATTACCGAATTTTTTTATTCAATGAGATTTAATTACATTCAATGATATTCATTTTTAACAATCAATAAAAACGCGCCTGGTGGCAATTTAGGTATCGCTGAAGAATTATTTATACGATCAATTACAATTTCGGAGAAATTTGTTTAAATTGACTAAATGCGCGATCCAATGGAGCGCGAGGGAAAAACAACGTGTTCTTGGGTCTCCGGTGTCATCCCGGTCGTCTCTAGCAGCGTTCAGATATATTTTGCGCGCTAGATACTCTGAAGGTCCTACATTGTAGGCTATGAGTCTTACGTAGATATTAGGCCTCATTTCTAACGACAAAGATTCCAGACAGTGTAAGATCCAAGACTTTCCGCCTTATTGAACAGTCGACTAGAGAGAGTCGATTGATTGATTGACTACAGGCGCATTAACCGCTAAGGTCATTAGTCCCGTAAGTATTTTATTGCGGGAGGTGGCGGTGATCCTACTCCGAGGTGATCCGATGCCGATCAATCCAACGGTTTGCAAGGGTTTCCCCAACCAGGTATCTCCCAACTGCAGTGCGCCGCACCAACCAGGACAAGTTGTAAGCTCCCGACTGGTATTCCAGTTTGTGTGATAGTGTAGCACATGAAGTGAAAGTACGGGGGGAAGGATAGGACAAGGAAGAGGAAGGAAAGACCGCACGCGGTACGTGATACGCGGTACGTGATACGCCGTACGCGATACTACCGATCAGAACAGCCGGCCGCTAGAATTCTTCTCCAGCCAGGGGCTCCATTCAGCTACTTGTACTATAGCTACGTGTAGTATGATTTATTTAGTTGTGCAATTGACGTAGAACAGCTTATCGGGTGCTGCCAATCGGGAGCTGCGGTTTATGCATCTCTGCCCCTGGCAGGTGTTAATTGTTGACGGTTTCATCCAATCGGGAGTTTAAACGTCACCACAGTGACGTCACTTAGATAAAACCGTGAACAGCTGATGTGCACGGTTAAATAGATCCTAGTATAGCTAGTGTCCCCTGTCATGGTCGGGACTCGACGAATAAGGCCCTCCCGACCAGAGGCACTACAGGGACATCAATTGCTCCACCCTGTGCCACCTACGCCGATGACTAGAGACGGGTTTGGCCGCGTTTCTGGCAGCGGGGACCAACGTACGTCGGCGGCGGAGGCGGCGAACCCCGGCGCGCGCGCTCGCTCGCGCTGCCGCCTCGCACGTGCGCTCCGCTCGCCGCGTCGCACGTGCGCGCCACCCGAC